ATGTTAATCACCATACATTACATCATTAGTTTTTGATGTAGTGTTCCATGATTCATTGTTTGTGCATAACACCCAGTGCTCCATGCAGAATGTGCCCTCTTTAACACCCATCACCAGGCTAACCCATCCCCCCACCCCCCTCCCCTCTAGAACCCTCCGTTTGTTTCTCAGAGACCATAGTCTCTCATGTGAACAAGTTCTTGATGCCGAATGAGTCCCCCTGACCTTTGTGTGTGTGTGTGTGTGTGTGTGTGTGTGTGTGTGTGTTGGCCCAAGCCATTTCCGTGTCACAGGACAAAAATAACAGGATGTTATCATACTTGCCGTCATTTATCCAGTGGGTTCGGTGCACAGAGCACAGAGTCTCAAGTCACTTTTAAAGGACAGATGGCTAGCAAGTGACAGTGCTAGGCCTCAAGGCTGGGAGGTCACTGTGTCTCCTGCCAAGCCCGGCCAAGCTAAAAGTTTTGGCATCAAAAGCAGGAAAGGCAGAAATGCCAGGGGACAAAGCACTTTCATGCCTCATTTAACCCTGTGACATGCCTTGGAAATCAATAGATCATTATCCTCACCTGGCAAGGGAGGCGATCAGGCCTTGAGGAAGGAGAGCGGGCGTTGGCAGAGCGGGGCCTGCACAAAGGTTTCCTGGTCCCCAGTCCCGCTGCCCTGTCCCCTCCAGAATGGCACAGATGGAGGCCGAATAATGAGGAAGGTCATCATGGAGTGTCTGTTCCACATGGCTCAGGTGACCCGGTGTCACGGAGCTCACAGCCCTTCTGGGGACTTGCCAGAGGCTCGGTGCTCTGCATCGTGTCCCTCGGCTCTCTTTTCACAGATAAAGAGGCTATGTTCCCTCTGCACACAGCCGGCTAGGACAGATCCCATGTTCTGGCCACTGTGTGACCCTAATCACGTTAGAGGTTTCCTGACCGAGTGGAGGCCTTGCCCTCACGTGTTAACCACAGCGGCCCGGATACATATGTGTGTTTGCATGCTTGCATAGGTCATGTGTGTTTGACGTCAGCTTCAGATTTTGTTTGAAGAGTTGTTCTATAGCTGACGTTCTTTTAAACCACTGGCCCACATGCCATACGTGTGATTCTTTTCATGCATTGGCTCCTTGGTGCTGAGACTCACTCTCTTCCACGCAGGGACAGTGTGCCACAAAAACATCAGTACAGAACCATCAGAACCGTCCCTGGCTGTGAAACGTGGGAAGGCCATGCCAGCGCATCCCAAGGGAAGGTCAGTCTTGTCGACACACATCTGTTAGAGCCTTAACTAAATTCTGTGCTCCCCGAGAACAGGGACTAGGTCTGATACGTGTTTGTCACTTTGGGTTTCCAGCTCTAGATGGACGCCTTGTATACAGTAGGCACTTATTCAATGTTTGCTGATGGTCGTTCTGACTTGCCAAATAAGCTTTTGCAGTGCTTCTTCCAAAGCTCTCCCTTTTCTTCTGTAAAGATTGTGGTACCATGCTAATTTCTTCAATTAGTACAGTATCTTGTCTATCAGAGATGATTTGTTATGTGTAAATATGTTTCTACCCTCGTGCTTGCAGAGTGGAATTTTTTTCCAAAATATTGTTAACATTTCCTTATAACACAGTGTGAATCCCAGGATGGGACAGACTTGATCTGGAAGAGAATTTGGTGGTCATGTGAGGTTAACTTCTTAATTAGCAGATGAGAAAAGAGGCAAAGGGGCCATTGGGGATCACCCAGCCAATCCACTTATCAACCAACTTTTGGGAGCTGATTGCTAATGTAGAAAATGGTTGGTATGATTCACAACATCTTCATATTTTTGATCACCTATGTTTGGCCACATTTTTCTGTATTAAATGTATGATAACATTTGACGGTAATACATCCTATTCACTATCCATCCATGCTTCTGACATTAGCATGTGACATTATCCATGTAATCTGCTAACTAGCAGCTCAAAAAGCCAAGAAGTCCTGAGACAGGAAGGCTCTAGAGTTGGTTAATGTCCTGGCTCACAGACACTGTTGAGGACCCAGCCTCCTTCTGTTCATACATTGTGCCATCCTCTGGGTGTCAGCCTTGACGTCAGGCTGGTTCTCCTCATGCTTACAAGTGGCTGTAGCTGTTCCAGGCATCACATGCAGTTTCCAACAGAAGGAGAAAGATTATCTTTCTTTGTGTATCAATTTTAAGGGAAAAAAAAATCTTTCACTAAAGCCCCTCCGCTCATTGGCTAGGTTGTGTCACATATCTGTGTTGAAAGTAACAACAGACAAGAGGACTAGAGCCATTGTGATGGCCCTTGATCCATCAGGATATGCCTTCTGCCTGTCCTGAAGTCCTGGATATGCAGAGTGTGGAAGCCAGAACAAAATAAGGGTTCTATTTGCAGAGGAGGACAGTGAGGCTCAGGAGGTCAGCTGTGGTCTACCGTCGTGCCAGATTCCTAACTTGGATCTGTCTGACCCCAGCTCTGTCTCCACGGGGCTGCGCGGCCATGCAGCATGAGGTGTGGGTGGAGTGGGGCTCATATCATGACTGGGCTGTTGTCACCCTTTGTCATCATCGTGGGGACCACCATACTCCATTAGAGCCAGCTTTTGATCATGTCTGTGCTCGTAATCAGTCATTTCACAGCTGGGCAGATACAGCTAGCCCAGATGACCCCCTGGGCACCTTCTAGCACTGTCTGAGGCCAAGTCTGCCAGGTTCATCTCCTCACCAGCGGGGATGGACTCTGCGGCCTCTCGGGACACTTTCTGCCTTCCCATCCACCGCGGGGCTGGTTCTCCTGGAGTGAGGGGAGGGACTTGTTGGCTCCATGTCCCCCGTGAGCTCCTCTGGGAGGTTTGAGGGGCTGTCTCTGCTGAGGCAGGAGCACCCCTGGATTATCTCACCGTCGCTGGCCCATTGCCACAGATAACAGGCGCCGCGTCTCCCTGGGCATGCATGCCGCACTGCCCGTGCCCCGCCTCCGCCCTGCGGTGACCATACCGACACCCCCTTCATCGTGTCTGGGTTCATTCACAGTGGGCTGTGTTGGAAATGAGAGCGAGCTGGAAGAGCCCAGAGCCTGGGGAACCTGGGTCCGTGGCTGCGTGGCCCTGGGCACGCCACTCAGTCTCCCTGCACCTCACTTTTCCTATCTGCGTAATGGGCTGCTGTGTGGCTCAGGGACCGTGAGTACAGCAGCCTGAGAGTGGCTGGCGCCCGTGAGCAGTGACACTTTCTCACAGCGATTGGGGTGTGGCCGCGGTGGGTTCAGATGGAGCAGACCGATCTCCTAGGGGTCACTTGACATCTTGGTGTTCTTAGAAAGCAGAGCTTAAATTTTCCCATGGGGTCTGGCTTCCAGGTCTGTGGGCTTGCTTGCTCTGTGCAGGGAAGAGCAAACTGGGAGAGCAGCCCCAAAGCTTTGTTTCTCAGGGGGTGCCTTGGCTTCCTGTGGCAGCTGTAACAAATGCCCACAAACTCCGGAGCTTAAGACAGCACACATATCTATTTCCCCGTTCTGGAGGTCCGAAGTCTGACACGAGTCTTACAAGTTTAGAAATGGGGGTGAGACTGGAGCTCCCGGTAGCCAGAAATGTTGGAGGGGGGGCCAGGTCTGGCTCTCCCACCATGCACAGAGTCCTGGTCCTGCGAGCACAGGGCCGCTACAGGGAAAACGCAGTTCTGGGTCCTTCTCCGCTCCAAGGCTGCGGTAGCAGGTGGAGACGAACATCCTTACCCCCGCCCCTTTCTCCTGACCACCGTGCTGGCCCAGGGACACAGGGTGGAGGTGAATGTGTTTGGACAGTTGACGGAGATTCTTATCAAAGGCCTTCGAGGAGAGCTTGACCTCCCTGAATTTATCTGCCATGTTTCGCATGAAAAGCCTGAGCGCAATTTTTTTTAAAGCAGAGAGTATATGGCTTCCACAGCGTCCCCAAAGGAGTCTGAGACCCGAGGGACATTACAGAGAGTTGGGAGAGCATCGTTCTGAGCTCAGGCTGCGTTCTGGCCGTGGCGCTGTCCTTCACCTCTCGGAGCCTCAGCTTCCCTCGCCTGGACAATGGGACCATCCTGCCCCACTCGGGTTGTTGCCATGGGTGCACAGCCTGGTGCCTCAGGGAGCTCCGTGGTTGGCAGCGATGCCCAGTACCAGCGACACTGGAATTTGCTGACACTATCCTTCTCTCTAGGGCTGCAGTGGCTGCCCCGGGGTTCCTGGCCACCAGTTTCCCCAGCAGCCTTTTTGTTTGTTTGGAGCGGTTTCTTGGGGTCTCCTAGAGAAAAGATTCTCAGCTGAGTGCTAGCAAATGAGTATGCTCCCCACCCCCCTGCTTGGAGGGCTCCCAGCTGCTCCCTTGGCTGCCCAGCTGAGAAGAAATGATGTCAGGAATGTTTCTCTCTTGGGGAAGCTGGAGACTCCTTTCAGCAGGACAAGAAGACACCGTGAAAAAGGGGTTCAGGGGGGTTTGCCAAAGCATCCTCGTGTGGTGCTGTGGGAATATCCGTTTCCTATGTCCGCCTGCAAGAGGGGCTGGGTGGGCTGGGCTAGTGGTCTGGGTCTTGGTTTTCTCAGCCTGATCACGCTCATTTTATGCTACAAAACACTTCAGTGGCTCAGGACCGAGAAGGGGCTGGGGGACTCCAGCCCCAGCTCCCAGCCTTTCGGTAGCCGCGTGAGGGGCCCTCTCTGGGCTCCACATCAAGGCCTCCCTTCCTGGCCAGAAGGGAGGTGGCACTGTCCTTAGATGCCCTGTGGCATGAAGATGCAGGGCCCGCAGTGAGGCTCCTGTCCACACATAATGGTTAGGAGCTTCTGCTCTGGAATCGTGCTGACCGGAGCTTGAAACCGGGCTCCACCACGTCGGAAAAATTACTCAGTCTGTCTGAGTCTCAGTTTTCCAACCTGCAGAATGCCAACAGCAAGGATTCCTGCTGCCACAGGGGGTCGTGAGGCCTGAATGGGTCCCCGTTGCAGGGCGTTCTACACAGGTGAGCACGGACACATGGGGAGTGGGCAGAAGCAGGAACCACTGGAATTTTAGTGACCTGACTGTGAAATCAGAAAATCGGGAAATGCAGAAAACGTCAAGGAAGAGAACCCATAGTGCCCATAGCCCTGGTGCCTGGAGACGCAAACTGCTATAGCTTTTGTTACGTGTCCCTCAGGCCTGTTTGTAGGCTCGCGTGTCTCACAGACTCGAATCACTGTTGAATGAGCACAGCGTACGTCTGTAGGTGCGTGCTAGTTTTTCTTAAGACCGGGCATGATGCTGCTTAACCCACTTCTTTTAAACTTAAAAATGTATCGAGAACATTTTCTCCAAATCATTCCATTTCACCAGATTGCATATTTTCCCACACTTTGATGTTTCTGAAATAGGGACGTGTTTTAGAATCATTGTCAAAAGAAACGTACCAGCTGCTGCTTCTTCTCTCTCTCTCTCTCCCCTGAAGGGGGTCACGGGATGGGCGATCGGGGTGACAAATGACAATGGGGCGTTCTGAAGAGGCTTCTGGAAGACCACAGGGTACTCTTTGGTGCCTTCGCCATAATTACCTTGATTGACCCCTATTTTTGGATGTTTTAGCTCCTTCTGATTTTTCGCTATTATCAACAAAGCTGAGAGGAAAAAAAAAAAACATGGCAGAAACTGCAATCAGGTGGGTCACTGACCCCACGGGAGAGGATGGATGGAGAGGCCAAGGTCACAGCCAGCCCGTGGTGACCTTCTGGGAGGAAGGTAGGAAGTGAGTAGCTCCCAGTGTCTGTTCCTCGGGTCAGCCCCTCCTTCACGGCCGGGGCACAGAGCGGCCCTGGGTGGGAGGAGTGATGCCCCACACAGCAGCCCCACTGAAGCACGGTGCTGGCTTTAGGCTGGGGAGCTTACCACATGGGCTTTCCCTTCCCCACGCGGAACAGAAGGCACAGAGAGAGGCCCCTGGTGAGCGCCAGGCACAGCTCGCTCAGAGTCCACGTGCTCCAAGTCAAGGGAGGAGATGCTTTCTCCTTTTCTGGAGTTCCGTCTCATGCCTACGTTTCGGGTAGGATGCTATTTTTAAGAGCCTGGCACTGTGGGTTTGTACACCCCAAGGGAGGAGGGGGACTCAACGCAGGGCAGGGCTGGGCAGGCAGCAGGCAGGAGAGCGGGCGGGGGGCTGCATTTGTTCTGCTCTAACAATGAGACTGCAGGCTGGCAGGCTGGCGGGCTGTCACACCCACGGCCGACATTAATCACATCCTGCCTTGCCTTCCCCAGCAG